ATATATATATGTATGTATGCACATACATATATACATACGTATATCTGATGCACAAATGCACATGTATATGCATGTCTAACACTCTAAGAATCGTTGGTTTGCGAATTTGTCGTCGGAGTGCGCAGGGCTTTGGAGTTGGCGCGGCGCCGAGGGGAGCCGCCGGAAGTCAGCGAGGACCGCAGCGAGAGTTGAGAGAATGGTGGGAACCCGGCAGACATCCGTTGGGTGAGCGGTTCATGTTGAGCGATTCATATACATGACCGGTGGCAAGGATGCGATGCATGAACTTTGTTAGTGCGAGTGCTCTAAAGCGTGCTCAGTCGTTGTAAGATGGACGGATGGGCGGAGAAGGGAAACACAGGAAATAAATGTCGGCAAGATCGAAAAACGAAGAGCACCGAAGCACCTTTGCATTTGTCCTTTTTGTTATGCTTCGTCCGCTTTTTCGAAGCCCGACTCCCGTTCGTCCTGCATGGTTTGCCTCATGCCGGCCATTGTGTTTGGTGCCGTCGATGTGGCAACTAAACTTTGGGAGTAACCTCACAATGATTCGTTTCGTTTTGCCCCGTCCCCGGAGTCCCCGACGTCCGGGATTCGGCAGTTCGGGTGGTTGCGTTCACTTGTGGACGAGAGCACAGCTTCGGCCGCGCTTCCTGCAGCGCTTCTCGAAGAAACTGAGTAATTATGCTACTCAGAGAAGACCACCTACGCCGCGATGGCAGGTGATTGCTTAGTGCTGGTTTCCGAGCCCAGGAAGACGAGCGGGCTCTGGATTTTGCAGCGGGCTAGGTTTAGTTTGCGCATCAGCTCCAGGACCAGCAGGAGCCTCGAAAAAAGAAACGGGGGGGACGGGGACGCTCGCACGACCAGCCGTTTGTCTTTGCGGAAGAGGAGGGAGAAGAAGAGAGAGGATGAGAGTTTGAAAGCTTAATTTGAAGAGTTCGAGAGACGTCAAAAGTGACGCCGTCCGGCACCTGCTGAGGAGCGCCGCTTGGAGTGGCCCGGAGCCCCAGCCGCTGGCGCAGTCCCTCTGCCTTCTGCCACCATCCGCACTCTTTGCTCTTTTGCGCTGTGCCGCCGCCAAAGTCCGTTGATCGTTTCCTTGAGGCTGCGGCGCGCGAACCAGTCACTGGAGTGTTTGGATCAGAAGTTGGGCCGCGTCCAGAATTGGACCAAAGAGGGCCAAGCACCACTTTCCAAGGCCGCCCGACAGCTGCACGAGATCAATGCAGGTTCTTGTGACGATTTCAAGATGATGCTGTTGTTGTTCAGTCTCCCCTTTTCTCCCGCTGGAACCGGGAGTGCAGTCTGGCATGATGCATGTTCTGTTGCTTTTGCTATCTATTGCTACCGTTGCGCGTTTTTCCTGCTACCTGCTATCCATACGTGGCCTAAGACAACAGAGCAGGACGGCAAGACGTGAGCCTGAATACCTGCCTTGATGAAAAGCTACATGAGCTTGAGTGGACTATCCCCCCGCCGGAATGCCGGACATGAAACGGTTGCCCAACATCAAGACTAGAGGGAAGACCCGGTGAACCCGCAAAAGGAAAAGTCCAAGGATTGAGTCGCCGCAGCACCCGGAAGCAGGAACAAAGAGAAGAACTCCGCTTGGAAGCCTTATGTAGCCGTCTCTTATGTCGCATGGGCTTTCGTTCACAGGCCCCAAGAATATATGAATGGCTTTCTCCTTGACCGCACGAAGGCAGCATCAAGACATGGAAACATCCCACTCCGTGCTCGGGTTCGGTTTGTTTCTTCCCGCGCGGTCGCGGCTACACCGCTAGGTCTCATGGGGCGGGACACTGAAAACGGGTCAGGGACTTCTCTCCCTGTACGAGGAGTGGAAGGAGAGCATCGGCCGACAGCTGAGGGAAGCGGAACGACAGGAGCAGGACGCGAAGGGACAAGGGGGAGTGGGATGTGTCAGCAGCACTTTGTGTTGTCTGGGCAGGTGGAGCAGCTGATCCAGGCGCGGTCTCTAAGCTGCCGGAAGCGGTTGGCTGTAGACACGAGTGCACAGGTGCTGCCGATCCTCACGAGCGACCTTAGGCAGATTGAGGCGCGACGGAGACGGAGCGCAGTGGAGCATGTCGAAGCGAGTGCAGCTCGCAGCTCTGCTAGGACGGCTCGGCGCCTGGCTCGCAGCCGGCCGCTTATCAGCTCGAGATTGAGCGCCCTGAGGGCTGCTTTTTGTGAGGCTCGCCCCTGGCTCGCCCGTTCCTCGGAAGAGCAGCAGCTGAGCAGTTGAATCGTGCCCATCACTTCCGAAAAGAGACTACGCAGCGCTGTGCTGCGCTGCGCTGCTCTGCAAGAACTGTGCCCTCACACAGCCTCACGCACACTTTGCATCGATGCAGGCGAATGCAGCTTGGCTTGTGTGAGCCTGCCATAGGGAGACATAACATATCATATTCATCATGAAGACCGAGGAGGGGGCAACAAGAATCCGAGCAGAGGGGGGGAGAGAGAGAGAGAGAGAGAGAGAGTTCAGGCCTGAGAGCTTGACTGAGAGCGAGATAGTGAGAGAGTGCTAGAGAGAGAGAGGCACCATAGAACAAATACTTTTAGTGCTATTAATCTCTGCATGTGTTGACTCGACTGGAGCAGAGCTCCGCGGCGATGAGCGATGGCGGGGACGGCCATGGATCCGTCTCGCCCCGTGCGAATCGCCTTGCACTTCGGCAGCAACGGTGGCAATCCACAGCATCACACGCTGCGCCAGGGGCAGGAGGAGAGAGCTCAGCCTTTCGCCGGTTTCAGGGGGACGGGAAGAAATCCGGATGCGGCGCGCTGCTTGTGGGTAGCTCGAGCACATGCCAAGCTGCCGAATTGGAGTGGAGTCAAGAAGATAGACAGTTTTCGCGGAGGAGCGGGAGCATGAAGTGGCGGCAAAAAGTAGGACTGCCTCCGCATCGGCCGCGACCCGGCCAGCGAGGTGCCTGTGAACCTGTCAGCGCCTGATCCCCGGATGTGCAAATGCAATTTCGACAGACTTCGTTTAAAGGATATGCAATTTGCATGGCGCCGCGCCTTTGCTAGGCCCGGGGTCTGCTGGGCCCACGCGGAGCTGCGCTTGTGCAAAGGGAGCTCCGCCGAGCCGTCCCTTGCACAGGGCTGAGTCCGTGCGCAGGACTGCTCCGGGCGCATCGCGCAAGTAAGTCGGCGTGGACATGGGAGTCCCATTGAACAGTCTCGTGGGTCTCGTGGTGCTCCCGCTGAAGATTCAATCAGGCTGGCGTTCGGTTTGGGGTTAAGGTTCAGAGGAGTAAATTGAGAGTGTTCGGGCCCAAATTGAAAGTGCTCGCCCCCGCGAAGGTTTAAGTAAATTGAGAGTGTTTGCCCCCGGATTGAAGTGAATTGACAATGTAGTCCCCGCAAGGGTTTTACTGAATTGACAATGTTAACCCACGCGAACCTCGCGGGAACTAACATTGTCAATTCACTTAAACCATGGCTAACATTGTCAATTCACTTAAACTTTCGTGGGGGCTAACATTGTCAATTCACTAAAACCCTTGCGGGGACTACATTGTCAATTCACTTCAATTCACTTCAATCCGGGGGCAAACGCTCTCAATTTACTTAAACCTTCGCGGGGTCGTAACACTGTCAATTTACTTAAACCCTCGCGGGGGCTAACACTGTCAATTTACTTAAACCCTCGCGAATGCTAACGCTGTCAATTTACTTAACCCTTCGCGGGTGTTAACACCGTCAATTTACTTAGGGGCTAACACCGTCAATTTACTTTTTGCAACTGGCCTGCTGCGACTCTGCCAGGACGAACACTTGGCCAATCACTTAGTGATAAGCGACTCGTCAATTTACTTAAAATCCTAAACCCTAAACACCCAGAACCCTGAACCCAAACCCTAAACCGTGCCGAATCGCCAAATCTCAAATTCCAACCTGTCCAGAGCAAGAAGACCTGCTCTCCTCAAATGAACCGCCCCTCATGTTTGGAAGACTACTCCTGGGCACAATACTTCGTCAACCCCGAATCATCCCTCCACTCAAAACTAAACTATCCGCCCTGCACGCCAACCGCCTTAGGAATGATAAGGCTGTTGCTGTTGTCTTCCACTGCGTATCAAACACGGGAAAGCCTGCAACCCTGACCCCTGACCCCTGCCCCTACACCCGAAAATCTCCGAACCCTAAATCGGAAGGGCCACTAACACGCTTGCCCTTGATTTAGACACGCTCTCTGACCAGATTCAATCAGCTCCTCTGCTAAACGACGGCTCTAGAGCCTGTCACGCAGATGGCGACTCGCGCCAAACATCATCCCTCTCCCCATCATGTATGGGCTTGTGCAGGGAAGGGATAGATTAACCGTATTTTTGTGATTTGACGACTAGATTTCACTTGCACAAGTGTGCAGGTCGACTTATAGTCAAGTACATCGCATGCTACTCGTGTAGGTGTAATATAAGATAGGGCAAACGACAACATGAAGCCACGTACAGGTGATTGGAGTCCAATTGTAAATGGAACTCGTTGGTGTAAATGAGCGAAGTTGAGTTCCAACGTTAAGGGATTCAGGGGTGGGTGGGCATGATGTCTAGACCGTGAGTGTAAGTGCACTATATTATTGCTGTCCCTAAACCCTAAACCCGTAAACCCTGGTGTGTTTTGGCTTTTTGATAACAGCGTCGGCCCTTCCAGCATTTAGCCTAACTGAAGCTAGGATTTTTTGTTTGGGAGTGGGGTTTCGGGCTTTGGGCTTATCGGGATGTTTAATGGAAGCTTGAAGGGGTAGGGTGTAGCGTTTATGGTTCGCCAAGGCAAGGACTTATATACAATGCTGGGATTTCCAAAGCGGCTTTCTGTTTTGAGGGCTGAAGAAATGAAATTTGAGAAATCTTACACTAACGGCGTGGGTGCCAAATGGATCAGAAAAACGAACAAGGACAAATCGATGAGTAGCAGCTCAAACCCTACGAACGCTCCTTCGAAAACCGATACTACGATGCAAAGCCGAAATAGCGCCCGAGAGTTCTCAGCCCGAAACCCGAAATACTGCAGCCAGGGTGCCGGGTGACGGGTTGTTAATAAATCTTGGGTTTGCGCACTGTACCCACAGCCGCACAAAAATAAGGTTGTGATTAGGAATCAGTTTTGCGCACAGTACCCACAGCCGCACAAAATAAGGCTGCGATTAGGGCTCGGGTTTGCGCACTGTACCCACAGCCGCACAAAATAAGGTTATGATTAGGGCTCAGGTTTGCGCACTGTACCCACAGCCGCACAAAAATAAGGTTATGATTAGGGCTCAGTTTTGCGCATTGTACCCACAACGCACAAAATAAGGTTGCGATTAGGGCTCAGGTTTGCGCACTGTACCCACAGCCGCACAAAAATTAAGGTTGCGATTCGGGCTCGGGTTTGCGCACTGTACCCACAGCCGCACAAAATAAGGTTATGCTTAGGGCTCAGGTTTGCGCAGTGTACCCACAGCCGCATATAGGACAGGATTGCTATTCAGGCTCGGGTTTGCGCACTGTACCCACAGCCGCACAAAATAAGGTTGTGATTGGGGCTCAGGTTTTGCGCACTGTACCCACAGCCGCATATATAGGACAGGATTGGCGATCAAGGCTCGAGTTTGCGCACTGTACCCACAGCAGCCGCACAAAATAAGGTTGCGATTAGGGCTCGGGTTTGCGCACTGTACCCACAGCCGCACAAAAATTAAGGTTGCGATTCGGGCTCGGGTTTGCGCACTGTACCCACAGCCGCAACAAATAAAGGCTATGATTAGGGCTCAGGTTTGCGCACTGTACCCACAGCCGCATATATAGGATAGGATTGCGATTAAGGTTCGGGTTTGCGCACTGTACCCACAGCCGCACAAAAATAAGGTTGTGACTAGGGCTCAGGTTTGCGCACAGTACCCACAGCCGCACAAAAATACGGTTGTGATTAGGGCTCAGGTTTGCGCACTGTACCCACAGCCGCATATAGCCTAAACCCTAAACCCTAAACCCTGATTTTAGGGCTTTGGGTTTACGGGTTTAGGGTTTAAAAGGCTTGGGGTTTAGGGTTTAACCGTGGGGTTTAGGGTTAAACCCTAAAACTCTAAACCCTAAACCCTCATAAAAGTAACAAGAGTAACAACAAACACCGCCACCACCAACAACAACAACAAAACCACAACCACAACAAGAACGACGACGACTACGACAACCACGACCACGACGACGACGACGACGACGAAAACGACAACGACAACGACAACAACAACAAGAACAATAACAATAACAAGAACAAAAACAACAAAAAAGAGGACGACAGCGGCGACAACACAACAACGACAACGACAACTGTAACAGCAGTAACAGCAACAGCAACAACGACGACCACAACAACAAGAGAACAAACATCCAGCCCTAAAGCCCTAAAGCCCAAACCAATATAGGGTTTAGGGTTGCTTGGGAGGAGTCAGGGTTTAGGGTTTGGGGTTCAAGTAAAACAGTGTTAGCCGCCGCCACTGTTGATGTCAATTGCCCCGCAAAAGTTTAAGTAAATTGACAGTGTTAGCCCCCCGCGAGGGTTGAGACATGACTGTGTGAAAACCCTGAACCCTAAACCTGACAGAATTCAAGCACAGCCACCACTACCAGCGACAACATCAACGACCAATACTCTTATGACCAACGGCTACAACGGCTTACTGGACAAAGCCTTAAGACTCTCCTCCTGCAGAGCCTGCCGGCCGTCGATGAGACGCTGCAGCAAGCTGCGAAGCACGGTGAGCTGAAGACCCTGTTCGTCAGGATGATAGCGGCCTCGCAACGTCTTGTCGCCATGTTAGCCGAGCATACAACTGACGCCTCTTATTGCTCCATGTCCTCCTGGTGCGTCTGATGCTGCTTCAGGTTAGCTGAACTCTGCCTAGCCCAGTCCAAGCCAGAGACCTGAACGCACAACACATGCTAAGAAAGGGGCCTTAACAATCAGAATAGGGTTTTGCGGGTTCCTTATTGTAACTATGGGTTTTGGGGGTTCCTTATTGCAACTATAGTATGATCGACCCCCAAACTATATTCAACCGACGGAAACTTTGTTGAAGCACCCCGCGGCTGCCTAGCCATCGGTGAGAAACGAAAATGGTGAAGAGGTGCGGTTCGTGCTGTCGTACAGTAGGAGCCCAGACTTGCGCGGCTCCTCCAAGGCAATGATTACTCAAACAAAAGCATGTGCAGCGGATTCCGTTCAAAAAAACATCTTCAAAACGCTCACTATAATGGCTGAAGCACCTATGTATGTTGGTAACAAGTTGTAGTGAAGGAGACTCAAGGTTTACCATGACATCTGGTGACTGCGAAAAATCGGCTTTGCTGTCTCCTCGTGAGGCAAAGGAGCTCCTGACATCTGCAAGACATCGTAGACATGCACCAACCACGTCGGGAGTTCCTTCCTGCAGGACAACTCAGGCTCATGTGCCGTCCTACGGGCTTGAACCTTGATGGGTCACAACCCGAAGTCACTGTAGCTCAGCTTGGAAACACAGTGACTGAAATCATCAATCGGAACAGCCGGCCAATCCCCGGCGCATCATTTACTTGACAGATTATAATCCTCTCCAGTTGCAGACCATCCTAAAGCATTCCACCCACCCTGTGTGAAGACATCGCACTCATCATTGGAGCAAATGGGCAGTCCTCGCTGGTCCCAGCCTTGCGCTTGCAACACATCCTACCTGGAACAGGCAAGATCTTGAGGTAACCAGCCAAAACACTCCCGTGTGAGCTGTAGCGAAGCTGTCACTTCTGACATCTTTTGACCAAGTTGAGATCAGCCGCGGCAACGACTTCTCGGCGCCGCTTTGTGGCCATGGCCTTCTTGCAACGGCAGACAGGTGGCACCAAGTCCATGCTTCGCTGCTATATCTCGCCGAACGCTCAATACTTCGCGTGCTACAAATAGCTTCAGCTTCCAAACATTGTCAGTTGTTCCGTGTTCCCTTTACAGGAAATGGCCAAGTTTGCTCAAAAGTGTTGTCCTTCCCGCCTAGTTTTGCAGGGCTCCTACCCCCGCTGCGGGTTTCACACTTTCACAGAATTTCTGCGCAGTGTACTGTATCGCACTGTTCACTGAAGACAGAAGGCACGTGGCGTCGTGTGCTCCCGAGACTGTTGACCTGTCGTGCAAGCGTGCATTCCTTCCGTGCCTCCTTTCGTGAAAGTTTTGTGAACCCATCCCGAAACCCTAAACCACTATGACTTGTGTGCTTACGCACGTGCTCACCCCAGCCAAAGCTCGTCTGGTTGCAGTGATCTGGGTTGCAGTGAGATTTGAACATCCCGTTGAATTTGTTCCTTGCTCGAACGTACATTCGTTTTCACCGGTCAAACACGTGTCGTAGGATGCTGCCAGAGGCTGCAATCAAGATCGAAACTAATGGATGCACCGCTGCGCAGCATAACGTTCACTGCATTTTGGAGACCCAAGCGGGATGGTCACAGGCTGGGGGTCTGTATCAAACAAAACGGAGCAGGAAGCTCAGCTCCAAGTTCAAACGAGGTGACTTCTCTGAAAGGATTCATGGCACAGAAGCGGCTGATGCTGCTTCGTAGAAAAGCACAAAAGCCATCAGCCGAGCCCGAAGTGCCAAAGTTGCCGAACCCAGCTAACACTGAGCCTCACCTTGAAGGCGCCGGCGCGGAGGCCTAGAGTTTCAATTCAAGTCCTCTGACTCTGATCGCACAAGACGCTCATATTTCTCCGCTGTCTGCGAAAAAACGCTGTCTGCGCGGCGACTCTCGGAGCCGCTGAATTGCGGGGATTCCCAGGGGTAGCGATGCCGATTGTGGACAAGGTTGGGCTTCTGGTTAAAGTTTATGGGTTAAAGTTTAGGAGCGGACAGAAAAGCAGGACCGACACGAATCTTGTGACACGTTGTACAAGGCGATGTTTGTCTTGAACACCTCCAAAGCTGCAGAATACACAACTTCATCAATATCATCATGGAACCCCATGAGCTCAGATGTGTCATAGTCCACAGAAGCATCCTTGGCTGAACTCGTTGGCCGAATGTCCATAAATTCTTCTGCACGACAATGTCCCCCAAACATCTTGTGGAAAAGGCAGATGGACATGTCCCATTCCTCCGTAAGGCCAACAAAAGCGAAGCCCTCCTTCACTCGTCGGGACGCTTCTTTTGCATCATCGAAGGACATGGGCCGGTGCACGTCGAGAATAGTTCCTGTCGTCGATCGCTGGTCCACTTGCGTTAGCTGGTACGTCATACCCCCCTTCATTAGGTCTGCATACTCCACGAAAGGTGGCTTTGTCATGTTCTTCAAAGTGGCAGCCCAGTCAAAACAACCAGGCCCATTGCCCCAAGAATGGTACAATGAGAGCAGTCGCTGATCGGGGTCACGGAACAACCCCACCAATCTACCTTTTTTGGCCGTGTAGTTGCCGAGGGCCTGGTGTGGAGGAAATACACACTCCATGCCCGGACACCACGATGGACACACGTTGGTGGTGAAATTCACACCGAAACAGGGGCCCAGAGTTGTGCTATCGACACTGTGCAGTGCCAATCCTGGACAAACACCGGGCAAGTTGATCAAGGCGTTGATGAAAGAAGTGCCACATTTCGGACAATGGAACCTCAACTGTTAAAGTCTTAGACCTTCCGTGCAAGTCAGGGCGGAAAACATACACACACACATGCAGATTATGGTCAAACATGGGTTTCTAAACACTTAGTCAGGAGATCAAGCGTGGACATGCACACTTCAGGCAAAGGGCCACCATAGAGGCTCGGCAGCTTCGAACCGGTCTTCCGGCAGACCAAGTTCTGGCGCCGTGCCTGTCCGTAGATTGTGCATGAAAAAGCACTTGGCTTGTCGCGTAAACTTGTCCGCTCCATATGTTGCACATTCAATGGAGAAGCGTCTTGTCCACGTGACAAGACTTGCTGTGGGGTCTACCCTGACGAACGTGAATGCTCTACCCAAAGCTAGCAGCTAGAATTGTTGACCCAATATGGTGAGTTGAAGTTCTCAACAAAGTTCGGGGGGGCACAATTATGAAGACATGCACCAGAAACTCATTGGAAATAATCTAGGTTGGTCTATGTCGTGCTTGCATGGCACAACTCTCGCGACGAGCCCCGGGTATGCTCCAAATGGTGCGTGCGCAGTCTCAAGATGTGAGGGTCCGTTTTGGCCACAAAGAGTTTGGAAGGTAAGCCCCCAAAAATTCGCTACGTCATCGCAACTGGGCTCTTATGCAAGGGATATTCTACTTGGACGGACAACGAAAGCTTTCACCGGTAAGGCATAGATCCCTGTTGCGCGCTCCTTCTTCCAATCGCTTGCGCTTTCGCTTCGGTGGTGTGTTCTGCGATTTCTGACTCTCCTCGGAAATCTAACCGAGTTTATCGAAAGTTTCAACCGCATTTCTTACAGAAATGTCTTTTCGATATTCGGAGGACCCGGTCGGGTCTCTCAGAGTGAAAGAACAAGAAAGTCAAACGCCTAGTGTGGGGTTAGGGTAGGTGGGAAAAGAAAAGTTTCGATTCGAAGTTCTCGACTCATGTATACCCACGGAGTCGATCGGTGATTGATGCCTTTCGCACATGTGCTACATGTCACCGAAAGCTTTCACCGGTAATGCGTAGATCCCTGCTATGAGCTCCTTTTTTCCAACTGCTTTCCTTCGGTGGCGTGTTTGGCGATTTCTGACTCTCCTCGCAGTTTATTCGACTTTATCGAAAGTTTCAAATGCATTTCTTGCAGAATGTCCTTTCGATATTCGGAGGCCGGAGGACGTACTGTAAGGATCGATGTAGATTATCGATGGATTGAATCTCAGAAAAACCTGTAGAGGCTGTAAAATTTGATGTTTCCGATGATCTTCGTGGCTCTGCTCGCAGTAGTCGATAAGTGCAAGTCGAGTTTCAACCAGTGTCGAGCTTCATCGATATTCAATATTCTGAAATCTGCTCAACGCATCGGAGACATTGGCTTTGGTGGACAAGCGAACGAGGCGGTGCACGAGTCCTCGGCGATTGTGCCAAGTCCAATGGGCTGCCACCAGACAGACAGTTCAGAGGTTGATGTTTGCCTACTCTGTTGATAAGTGCGTGTCTGGATGCCTCGCTGTCACAGCATTGGATGTAGAAGTGTGAAGACTATTGGGGGTAAGATCGCAGCCCAATCCTCGAACAAGTAGATGACTGCCTGGTCGGCGGAATTTTGTCGCACTACACCGCAGGTAATCGACCTTGGAATTTGGCGGAAGCAGACCGCGGCCCAGCCATTCTCGATATTGCCGGTGTCGGTGGCGTTCCAGCTGCTGGGAAGATCTTCATCGCCTGGGCTGTAGATCTTCTGTTCCAGTTTTAAGTGAGCGTCTGTGTAGATGACACTGTAGGTGTAGTCACCGGGATTTTAGGGATCGTCGTCGCTTTACAATGTTGAATAGCAAGTAGTGACGAACGTGTCGGCTTGTTGATGGTGTGTGTGTTTGTGGGAATTTGCTCTGGCCTTCAGTGGGGGCACTGCCTACATTCCCAAACCGCGTACCTGTCAGCAAGTTGCTCCTGCCTGCCATCTTGCTGGCCCCATCCGGCGATGTTTGGTTCATGGCCAGGCGCTTGTCAATTTGTTGACACATCGCTTTCAGTCGTTGTGGGCAAGAGTGAGGATCAGAGATTGTCTGGGTCGGAGGCGATCAACACTCCCTGAAGACGTTGTTGTGTCCCGGGGAGCTGTCTTTTACTCGTCTTCATGGAGATCCCGAGCCAACCGTCGAAGGCCCTAAAGCTGCCATCGGCGGACAAGATCCCCACTGAATCCCCACTCGATCCGTAGTCGTCGGCGTAATGCGTGTCGGTCCTTCCGGTGCCAGGAGAAGCACGAGGCTTTCCAGGGCGCCCTTTTCCCAATGTTCGGTATTGGACCGACGATTGTAACTGGCAGACTGGCACTACCGATGTTGCTACCAATGCGCCACATGTTCCTCCGAGGATTACGTGTGGTACAGCGAACGCTCTTCGCTCAAGCCGGAGATCTTGAACAAGCCGGGGTGCGTCGGCGGCCAGAGGTTCGACATCTTGGATAGGACCGATCTCAAATCTCTTCGAGCAGGACACCGGTTGGGGACACCGACCGTTTGGAATAACCACTATTCGAAGGTGTTCTTCAGTCGTTTTGGAACAATCGCAAGCAGCGGTGGATCCGAAAGCCGGTGTTCCGCCACAACTCGACAAAGGAATCCACCCAGATCGGGGTCTTCGATTGGTACAAGTGTTGACAACCCAACGAAACAATCTCGCTGTGAGAATCTCCGACAAAGGACGACGGCCTGGAAGCAAATGTGCGACGACGTCCACACCGAGAGACCAGGATCCTCGAGCAGCGAGATTCGGAAGGTGGTGCGGAACTCACACCAACAGGGTCGTCGCTGACATCGATGGGCTTTACGATGGACACAAAGCGGGCGCTCCAGGCTTCGCCGACTCGGAGAAAGCCTCGATCACCAACGTCACCGACCCTCGCCGGAACGTGGATGCATTTCGTACCGGGTTGCTTGTGAGCAGGGAATGGGCTGGTGATGAGCATGCCAGGAGCCGGTGCCAAAAACTGCGCCCTAACCCCCGCCAGGCCCTCACTAGGGACCCTTAGAGGCGCCCTCTAACCGCACCCCAACCCTCCCCAACCCTCACCAGGACCTTTAGAGGCCCTTGAACGGGCTTAAACTGCACCCTAACCCTCACCAGTGACCTTAGAGGCGGCCCTTCAACGGCCCTGCACCCTAAACCCTCCAACGGCCTTAAACTGCACCCTAAACCCTCCCCAACCCTTGTCAGGAACCTTAGAGGCCCTTCAACGGCCTTAAACTGCACCCTAAACCCTCCCGCACCCGCGCCAGGGCCCCAACGGCCTTAAACTGCACCCTCCCGGACCCTCACCAAAGACCGTAGAAACCCTTCAACGGCCTTAAACTGCACCCTAAACCCTCCCGCACCCGCGCCAGGGACCCTTAGAGGCCCTTCAATGGCCTTAAACTGCACCCTAAACCCTCCCGGACACCTTAGAGGCCCCGGCGATCAATTCTGGCACCTCGCTTGTAACGAGGCTCCGCTCACCGATTGTTTGTGTAAGGTGACGGAGAGCATCTACCAGAATCTACCAAGACTTTACCTGTCGGTCGAATGAGTGCACGTGGGTGATAGACAATCATCATTGGCTCCCACAGATCTCGTACGACTACCGTATCGACTCCCAGCACGGCCGATACACATGCCCCCCCATTTTTGACACCGTAACGGTGCGCACTCCATAAGAATGCTTCTTCGTTGCAAGCCCCGACTTTGATCCCTGCAGTTGTTCAGTGTTGACCAGACCTCGACAGAATGCTGTCGGCGCTCGATAGGAGTATAGGTAAAGTCCCCCCCTCTGAAGCGAGCCCTAGGCTACGGTAAGAGACATTTGAAGCACATGCGTGACCGACTGCGGCGTTGGCCCAAAGAGTGAAAAGAGTGTGTCTGTGTAGGGTCTTACTGTCTAGCTGAAACACCACTGATGGTTTGGACATATGACCCCGATGGAGCTTATCGTCAGCTACCTCTGCACAATCCAGGACAAGCTAGGTTCCCTTTTGCCCTTTTTTATTTTGGGGTCTCCTGTTCCTCTGGGTTTAATCGCCAAGAGGAAGGAGGAAGTGCGGCGCGAACCATCGGCCGCAAAACGTGCAATCGAGAGACTTCTCGTGCACCACGGATGTTCGATTGCTCGCCAAATAACGGAAGTATTCGGCCCTTACGTTGCGCCGCTCATGCTCCGCCTCGGTACCGCTGAGCATCGTAATAGGTCAATAGTTGGGGGAAGGACTTGTTGGATGACATCTTCATCTTCATCGCCGAGTTGTCGTTTCCAAATTGTCAGGCATTCTGCATCGAGGAATCTGGGAACACGGCGCGTGGTGGAGCGATTTGCCCGTCTTCTCGGAGGCCGGCCTTGAAGGCCATCGCTTCCAAAGCTGCTTGGGTCGTATCGCTGTCATACGGTGGATGATATAAACCCTACATGAGTTTATAAGACACAAGCCGCTCCCCTCGAACCCCTGAGTTTTAATATTGTCGAAGGCAGACGTGCGCGAGTCGGACCGTGCGAATGATATAAATCCTGCATGACCTCTCCCTTAACATCAACATTGAGATTGAGGGGTGCGGGGACATAACTCTTTGGACGGTTCATATTGGGCTGGTTCAAAGTCATGCAAGATTTGGATCAACAACAGTAGTATCGGCTCTTTTGTTTCGCTCGCTGGCCCTCGCCGCCGGTAACATCCCGGCGGAGCCCGAAGGCTCGGCGGCAGTCACCTCGACGGGGTCCTGCTGACTCATAGGCTGAGTCGCGGTGTACTATTCGATGTCACCAACTTCGTTGTTTCGCTGCCCCGACATGTTTTCGCAATAGACGAAGAAGGGTGCTTCTTAGACTATTCTCGACCAAAGCTACCGGAAGCCAGACAGTCTCCAAAGAGAAAGTAGACCCCGCTGCTAACACGCGGAGCCTAAGGAATGTATTGCAAGCGAAGAACCGAGGCGTTGTTTCGAAGTGCATCGAAGTACTGTGAACCGCGGTCTTCTTCGATGTCTGGACCAACTCTGTCCTCCCCACACATCGTCTTGGCGGAAATGGAAAAGGACTGGAGGATTCCTTCGGACAAAACGTGGTGACATGACACACACGCGCGCGCGCACGCACGC